GTGTAAAGGCTGGTCCTGCCGGGGATTTAAGTGCATGCTCGTTTTCTGTTGTCGCTCCTTCGGGATTATCCTGCTTAAGAGAAAATGGGAGTATGGTAATGTTAAGGTTAATGTTTCTTAAGGATATATTTGCAGTGCAAAAGTCGATTAAAAGAAAAGAAGCTCTAAACGTCTTTTAATTTAGACGTTTGTGACACTTTTAAAAGTATCACAAATTAAGGTTTCCTGAGAGCTTTGCACTGTGTTTTGTTATTAAAATACAATCATGGTTACATTTTAAAGATCATGCAATAAACGAACGAGAACTGATGATCTTGCAGACTTGAAACGTGCTACGTGTGATTCATTCTGGCGTTGGTCTCTGTTTGCACCGACGGGAATTGTTGTGACTAACTGGTTTGTGTATGGGACATTTCCAGCCAGGTTTGGAGATGGATTATATGACTCCTATATGAGGATAGATCAGATTAGGTACCAAGAGCCTACAAATGAAGAACACAGCCCCTCAGGACTTCCTTCCCTTGGAAGATCTAACGTGAGTATTTTATTAAAGTTGTCTGGGTCTTCACCCAGTTGTGTTGTGTGGCAGTGAAAGCTGTCAAGGACTTGGATATCTCACTATAGAGAATTAATTAAAAAAAAGTGGGATGGTGCAGCTTTGTAGTAGCTTATTAACATTATTGCTTCTCCTGCGTGTAAAAATGATGTGTTACTGTGCTCAGCGTAGAAGGCAGCCCCAGAAATCCTACCATACTATCCTCAGCTCGTCTTCTAATCAAGGAATTTATTTTACAAATGGGTAATGTGTTACTGTGCTCAGCGTAGAGCTTGCTAGGCAGCTCCAGAAATCCTACCATACTATCCTCAGCTCATCTTCTAATCAAGGAATTTATTTTACAAATGGGTCGAGCGTTCTGCCACATCACCCTGGGTGTTGATAAGTGCATAAATCCACGCAGGCTTTGCTTTAACTCTTGCACGTTTCCATTTGCGTTTCCCTCATGAAAATTCCAAGAGATAAGTGCTTACGGACAGCCGGAGGAACAGCGTGGGCTTGCACGGCTGCCAAACATTTCACAAAAGCATCTTTCTCCTCTGAAAACTTTGGCGTTATCTGCCGCCGCGTTCCCTAGCAAAATAGCCCTTTATGGACTGAAGGTGTTAACGTGTCGCTTTATAAGCTCTGGGTTTCCTCAGCAGATGTGGCGTTACGAGATCTTCCCTCAGCTTCATTCAGGTCGTGTTCAGCTGTACAGTGATCTGACCTTGATACGGTTTTTAAATGTGTTTGGGCTGTTGCTGAATTCTGGCAGAAGTGAAGGAGCTTGAGCTTAAAAAAAACCCCCACTCTCTAAAATGTGAAAATCGGCATTTCGCTGAGTAAGATCCTTTTAAAGAATCATCACGGCGTGGGAATTTATTGTAAGAGATATTAGTAATCACGTGGTCTGTGCCGCTCACTGTAGCATGGGTCTGTGTTCTCCCTTTTTGGCAATATTGAGGGAGAGCGGAAGAAATGTAGAGATTTGTTGAGTTTGAAGAGTAGTGGGCTGGGTTTTTTTGCAGGGGGGTGGGAACTCTTAAACTGCAGTGTTTAAGTCATAGTGTAACCACAGCTGTTCAGAACGGAACAGAAATCCGTAGGATGGAACTCTTCAGTTAAGTACAAATAAAACACTCTGAATATTTTGTTTCCCTGGTGTATCTTATTCTTCGCCTGTGTTTTGTCCGTCTGTTACCTGTTCAGACAAGATGAAGGATTATAAAATGCCCAGTTTTGCCAGAGTGACACATCGAAAAATTGCAGCCTTTGTGGTATCTTGTGAGCAGGGACTGAGATGAAGCATGCGAGGATGAGAATCATGATGCTCAATTTTAATGGGAAAGCATCTGGAATTAAGTGATACTTGGGTTCTTTTTGCAAGATTTTTGTATTACGATGTAATGTTGTGTGAGAATTGAAAACTTCTGACGTCTGCAGCTGTCCGTTCTTTTCATCTTAGCTGTAAGAGAGCACAAATATCTCTGCTTTGAGAGTTTTAATTGAGTTTAATTCAGTATTGAGACAATAACTGATGCGCTTTTGCGCACTGTGATTGTGTAAGAACTGGGTTAACCGTTTCCTTCTCAAAGAAAATGAAGTTCTGGACGTGCAAATCTTCCACAGGCTGCCGCTTGTGTTGGCAGCCTCATTTCTTGGCTGCTAATAGCGCTTTATCAATGATACAAAACCTGTGCAGCCTGTGGTTTGTAAAAGCAAGCTGCTGAAAGGGAGCTGGTGTTACCCAGGAGTCATCTGACTTCAAGCGCAGCTCCTCTGTGTGTGTGCGTCATGTGGCGAGCAATTTGGGTAGTCCTCTACGAATGAAGGTTTAGTCCTTCCTACCGAACGGCTGTTGAGTTGGGTTTGAGATCTAAAGCTGCGCTTTCTTCATTAAGGAGTAGTTCCAGGATAAATGGAATTCCTTGTTTATTTAGGGATCCAAAGGTACGGAATGTTGGCCACAAACGGCGTTGGCAGAGTTGCTGTTGCTCGGGAAGAGGCAATAGGTAGAGGAAGCGCTGTTTCGTAGAATCACAGAATCATTTAGGTTGGAAAAACCCTTTAAGCTCATCAAGCCCGACCGTTCCCCTGCCATCCTGCCACTAAACCCTGTCTTTCACGCTTTATCACGCCGCTGCAATTTATGACGTTCAGGCTGTTAACGCCAGTTGCTGGAAATCAAGTAGTTGAAAGAAATTTGTGCAGTCCAGTAGCGCATTTTCAAGCGTTGGTGCTTCAGCCGTCCAGGCAGCTGGAGCGGGCTGCTCCGCAGCGCCCTGCTGGCACAGCCTGCCGCGGCCACGGGCTGCGTCGGGGCGGTTGTCTGCAGAGGTGCAGTTGGGACCGTTGTGAAATCGCAGTGATAAACCCCTGCTTTTGTTGTGCATACGATTGAAACCCATGTAGGAGGAATAGCGAGTTTTGATTGCAAAGGTGAAAATAAAGACTTCGACTGTACAAGGACAGGCTTGTTTTGGTTTGGGTTTCCCCCTCTCTCCTGCCCACCCCCCGGAAAACTTCAGAAAACAAACAAGTGGGAACCTTGTTCTGGGCTTATGTTCTTTGTTTATTTGTAAACCTACTGTTTGAGCCTGCGGGACTGAAGAGTCTGTTAGCCAGTTCCGAAAATACATCATTCGCATCTTGGAGGTTCAGCCAGGCTGAGAAGGCGGCGTTTATTCCGAGTTACCAGGGTTGGGCTTTGTTTTTTTCATCTAAGTCTTTCTGGAAAGGCGTGTCTCTGACAGTACACTGTATTTTGGGGTTGATAGGACTCAAAGTAGTGGAACTTAGTAGGATATATCCGACGGCCCCTAGTCACTGTTGATAAAGACTAACTTTGCAGAAAATGCCCATTTTTTGGGGGGCTGGTGAGCAAGAGATAACGTTTCAAGGCAGCACTGACAAACAGACTCTTAAGGGATGTGTGTAGTTGTTTTTGGCGAGAACATTCACTTCCCTTATTTACTGACTGCTGAGATGTTGGCTTGTATGTAACTAAAAAGGAATTTGGTTTTATTGCTGTGGATCTGCAGGTTTATTTATATTTTTTTGTTTGATTCCCGTGTAGTTATTTTGGTTTTCAGGGATTCGGTTTGGCATGTGAGCTCAAATCTTTATTTTTAGATTAAAGGACAAAATGGAAAACAGATGTTGCTGGTCTAGTCATGGCTTCTTCAGCGTGGCACGGGGTAGGACACCACCTCTCTGCTGTCCGTCAGCATGGAGCATCAGTGGGTAGGAAAGGGGGGTAACTGCTGCTCAGGCAAGGAGCTGAACTCCAGGGAATTGAGCGTTTAATCATTTGTAAAAATGACAAGCTTGCAAAACTTCACAGTGCTTTTCTCACCTTCTAGACGTTCATTTCAGATGTAAATATTTTAACACATGGCAATAAAAGGCAATGGTTAGAGGCTGCTGTCAACAAAGTTGGAGTAAGAGGTATTCCTGATTATTCAAAGCTTCCAAGCCTGTCTTAAGATAGTTGTGCAGCTGTCATGATTTCAAAGGGAGTTGTGGATGTGATGGTATTTTCCCCTTCAAAGAAAAAACATCTTTCTTTTTTTTTTTTCTTTTTTTTTTAAAAAGTATGGTTACTCTTGCCTTGCTCTGTCATCCTTCTGCTCCTTGCTCAGCTTGGTTTCACCAGCCGCGTGTCGCTTGCTGTCATTTCTCTGGCACGCTTGTCTTTGCAATATTCTTGACACTTCTCTGCACATTCATGTTATGTTGCATGTTCCAGACAGGTGCAAGTTGCATCTGTCCTTGGTTGGGTTTGCTGCACCCACGTTTAAAGCTAAACATAGCTGTTCCCCCGGCTGTTTGCTGACTACGTGCATACTAGTAGAGATAGGTATTGTGTCCTTGTTTGAGCGTTTGACTGTCTGGGCTTTACCCTTTATGGACTTAAAAATACACTGCATTTGTGCAAGTGCGTGTTTCAGTAAGTTGCATTGGGCTGCCCAGGGAAGGGGTCGAGTCCCCATCCCTGGGGGTATTTAAAAGCCGGGCAGACGAGGTGCTTAGGGCCAGGGCTTAGTGGTGGGATGGCAGGGTTAGGGGAACGGTTGGACTTGATGATCTTAAAGGTCTTTTCCAACCTAAATGATTCTATGATTCCATGATTCTCTTTGTGTACCCTTCTATAACTACGCTCGTAACTTGAGTTTAGGTCCAGCATTTTGTATTTGTTCCTAATAGAAATGTAAATCCTGTTGATGTTACAGTTTTTGGCTTATGTGGTATTGATTTTATTCTTAGTCTGTGCTTTAAAAGATAAAGTAAAGCGTTTTTTGTTTTGTTTTTCCATCTGTAGGTTTCTAGCAACAAACTTGCGATGAAGGATCACCCTCTGACTGGAAGTCAGGTCAAAGTGGAACAATTATTTGAAGACTTTGGCAACAGAAGGAGTAGCACTCTTCAGTCTGCAGGGATTACTGGTTCCGAAAGATCTCTTCCTTCCCTGACAAAAGATAAAAGTATAGAGAGCGTAAGCACTTCTAAAGGTGGTGGTAGTTCCTCAAAAGCACATAAAGCCATTTCCCAAGCTCCAGAGCAAGCTGTCAAACAGTACAAACATCAGTTATCTGCTTACGAACAGCAAGAGATATATAATTTTGCTGAAATTTACTTTGTGGGTCCAGCTGCAAAAAAGAGACAAGGAGTTATTGGTGGTCCCAACAATGGAGGGTATGATGATGACCAAGGCAGCTACATTCATGTGCCCCATGACCATCTTGCCTACCGGTATGAAGTACTCAAAATCATTGGCAAGGGCAGTTTTGGACAAGTTGCTAAAGTCTATGATCACAAACTCCACCAACACTTAGCCTTAAAGATGGTTCGCAATGAAAAGAGGTTCCATCGCCAAGCAGCAGAAGAAATCCGGATTCTGGAGCATCTGAAGAAGCAGGATAAAACGGGCAGTATGAATGTTATTCACATGCTGGAAAGCTTCACCTTTCGGAACCACATCTGTATGACCTTTGAACTCTTGAGTATGAACCTGTATGAGCTGATTAAAAGAAATAAGTTTCAGGGCTTCAGTATCCAACTGGTGCGCAAGTTTGCTCACTCTATACTGCAGTGTTTGGATGCCCTTTACAGAAACAAAATCATACACTGTGACTTGAAGCCGGAAAACATCCTCCTAAAACAGCAAGGGAGGAGTGGAATCAAGGTTATAGATTTTGGGTCCAGCTGTTTTGAGCACCAAAGAGTCTACACGTATATTCAGTCTCGATTTTATCGGGCACCAGAGGTAATTCTGGGAAGTCGCTATGGGATGCCCATAGACATGTGGAGTTTTGGCTGTATTCTGGTGGAGCTATTGACTGGATATCCTCTTTTTCCTGGAGAGGATGAGGGAGACCAACTGGCTTGCATGATGGAACTTCTTGGAATGCCACCCCAGAAGCTTTTGGATCAATCCAAGCGAGCCAAGAACTTCATCAACTCTAAGGGTCATCCTCGCTACTGCACTGTAACTACGCATGCAGATGGAAGAGTGACCCTTAACGGGAGTCGATCGCGCCGGGGGAAAATACGAGGCGCTCCAGGGAACAAAGACTGGGTGACGGCACTGAAAGGCTGCGACGATCCCTTGTTTATAGAGTTCTTAAAAGAATGTCTCAGCTGGGATCCTTCCGCACGCATGACTCCGAGTCAAGCTTTAAGGCACCCTTGGATTTGTAAACGAACGCCCAAACCACCCAGCGCTGATAAAACCTCCAATAAACGGATTTCTAGCTATACAAGCTCTTTCACGGGAATAGGTTCCAAGTTGCCTCCCGTAGTTGGAGTGGCAAACAAGCTGAGGGCTAATTTAACATCCGACTCCAATGGCAGTATACCTCTATGTACTGTGCTACCCAAACTGGTCAGCTAATAGAGAACTATGTATTTCCAGAATACATACCTTGTATTTTAATTGTTTGTTAATAATGTGTAAGGAAGTTAAATGCAGAGGTTTTTAACGGATTTACTTTTTACTAGAGGCTAAATCTTGAAGATAAAAAGTTCAGTCAAAATGTACACATTTAAAGGGCTAACTCTTACCCGGTTTTGCTCACGGCATGGTGCATCTGACACTCCTGGGTAGGTCGGCTCAGCTGTCCGGTAAAGCGACAGCGTGGCAGACGTGCTATTTAACAACACTGTTTTAGTAAATCAAACTCTTTCTTACCAGGATGGTTTAACAGATTCTTTTGCTTATGGCAGCAAGGGAAATCGATCTAAAATACGCAATTTCAGTTAATCTCCAGCTGAACTCTTTTTATTCTGGGAGAGTTTTTACATCTATTGTCAAAGCACAAATGCGTTCATGTAATGCGTTATGAACTTGCAAATTGCTAACTTGTATTTGAAGAATTTTATTTCTCTGCGCTGCTTTTCCCTTATCTATCCTGACTGAGATTTTTAAAAATACCACGTGATGTAGACACCGAAGGAATTTGGTGTTGAAATTTTATCATCTGAATATTTTTTTTTTTTTCCCCCAAAGGAGCGCAGAAATGCCATAAAACACAGGATATATCTGAATAAAACTCCTAACTTCTGTACCCGTTCTATTTCCCTTAAAAATTCTGTGGGAAGCTGGTAGGGGAATTCAAGATCAAGACTGGCCCATCACAAGCGTGGGCCAGTTTGTTCAGGGCTAATGGTTCAATTATACATTTCTTTGGAGCTCGGATTTAAGTCATCGGTTCTGCCAGGTGTGCGTGTGTTTGTTTTCCTGTGGTGTTCCCAAAACAAAAATGTTGAACTTTAAGAGTTGGTTTATATACATGTCTGAGATTCTGGTCACTTTAAAAATGTCTCCTTTTTTTGTGTAGCCTGAATTCCATGGAATTACATGGAGCTCTTTTAATAAAAAGCAAAGATGCCACCCCTCTTAGACAGGTAAAAGTTTTTAAGGCTCAGGACTGTAGCTAGAAAATGGGGGGCAGGGGGGCACAGCTGATAGTTGGAAGCATGCTCTGAAATCTAAGCATAATCTGTGAAATACCAGGAAAGATTGATAGGGTGCAAGAACTGGAGGATGCAAAACAAAATACATTATGGGAACGATTGCTTTATTTCTAATTGTATTCCTTCAGGTCTTTGCGAGAGAGATGCCTACGTTTTCTCATTCTTGAAATACAGGAGCTTCTATTTCCTCTTCCTTTATCTTCCGAGGACATGAAAAGGCGGTGCGACCTGTAACGACAACAGCACAACTCGTTGGGGTTGTTACTTCTCGCAGCCACATGGCTCAAGTCCATTTACAAAACCATCTGATCTCTTGCCAGGTGCCTGAACACAATTTTAAATACAATTTAGAGCTTTTATGAACAGAAGGTCTTAAATTTAATGAGCTTCCCTGAAGCAGGTTTTTAATGTTAAAACAAGGAGGCTCTCGGTTATACAAAGGAATTATCAGGGTGATTTTTAAGATAAGGTGACCACACGTTCAATACAAGACCCTCCCTCTGAGAAGATGGGGCTGCATTTTCTCCTCTGCTCTCTTTAATTACAGCACTGGTGAAATGCTGGGTGGAGGCCGGTAGAAAAAGTCAAAAAGACAGAGCCAAAGCTCCAGACTTCCCAGGACTGTTGTTTAAACTGAGGTTCTCGGGTACTTGGCTTTTCTGAGTTCTTTTGTTTTACAAGTGTAAATTTAATAAGCTTAGTAATAATATTAAAATAACAGTCTAGCCTTTATCCGTGCAGCTACAAGTAACACCAGCGAGTGTGGTATGTTCACGGTTTGCTTCGTAATAATGCATGAGTGGTATTTTTTTTTATTTTGCTTGGCTGAGTGGAGTTTTATTTGAATGGAGAATCAGGGAGGTGGATTTTGGGGGGAAGTGGCAGAAGATACCATCGATTTTAGTAGACTCTCTAATAGATGTGGCACGTTTCCAGAGCCAGAAACATTTTTCTTCCTCCTCTGCTCTTTACTCTATGCATTTTCTTACAAAATGTACCTGGTGAGTGAGGAGAAAGGAACCTTTCAGGAGCCATAGCTTGTTAGGAAAGATGTGTAGAAAAGCACTTTGTATAGAGACTGTAAAGGGATGGCGGTGCCTGGAGCCTGGCAGAGGATGGCAGTGCTGGTGTGCTCGGAGCTGTACAGACAGGTCTTCCCTTAGGAACACGGAGCAGTATCTTGGTTCTAAACCATTTTCATCCATGAAATGCCAAATGTAGAATAATCCTTCTCCTGTGACTTCTGGGAACTGGTTACTGTGAGGTAACTTCCAGTGTGACAGCCTCTGGTTTACCCACGGTAATCTCACTTAAGGCTGGGGCTGTGAAACTGCAGATAAAGTCATTAGCTGGAAAGAACATTGCTTTTTATCCAGAAAATGTGTTCGGCGTCACCTGACTGCACAAGGTGCCTGTTATGACTTGTGTGTGTTTAAAGCTGGATCTTGCTTACTTGGGAATACTGTGTTGTAAAATCAAGCGCGTGGTTAGCTGTCTCGCTGGTGTGGGTCTGTCTGTAGCCACAGCGGGTGAGAAGGAAAAGGACACGGCCTCAGCAGGCTTTTGCCGTATTGAAAAGGACTTCTTCATAACCCAGGGAATACGGCTGAGAATGTTTTGGTCTTGTTTCCAATTACTAAGCCCCATTTTTTTTATAAACTGCTTGCTTTCAGTGGATAACGTGACACAGTATTCCCCAACCGGAGAGCCCTAATGGATCTCCTGTCTGGGAGAGGGCTGGGGGATCGTCCCTGCAAGCACTTGACTCCTTGTGTTCCCTGTGAATTAGCACAGGAGTTGCCCACAGCCACGTTGGGCCAGGGGCTGTGTCCTTCTTCGGTGTCGTTTATAAAGGGTGGCCACGGCAGCAGTGGCTGGCTTCACCGAGATACAGTCGAATCCCGACTTCACACTTTGGAAAGCAGAACAGGAGTGAGGTCTGACATTGCCACAAGTCCATCATTTTCATTAGCTGTGATACTGGTTAGAATGTTAAAAATCGTCTAAAACTAAACTTGCCTAAATAGATTAACAGACCAGCTTTTATTTTTTCTGGTAACTCTGTGAGTTTGTTAATCTGCCAGCACAAGCGAGATTCCACAAGAACTTCCATCACGTCCTTCTAGGAAGTTAGCTCAAACCCAATGCAAATCACTTGGCTTCAGAGCAAAATGGACATCACGTTTATAAAAGTCACTTAAACTTGTTTTAAAATGTTCATTATAACGTTCCCTCTGGTTTACGGCACCGTTAGTCTCTGTACTATAAATAACGCGCTCTGGTTATTGTCTGCATTGTTACCTGTTTGGTTGAGCAATATTTTTATATAAACGAATGACAAGGCACAAGCATCACACCTGACGGATACACATTGCTTTTGCAGGGGGCTCCAGGTTTGATCTGCCTGTCCAAGTTGCAGGGGAAAGCTCGGTTTTATTTGAACTCAGTGGGACAGTGAAGTATTCTTCTTCCCTGCGGAACACGGTACCGCAGACGGACACCCAGGCCGCGTTTAGTTCTTCACAGGCTCGATCTTACTCATGCCAGCCGCTGAATGTGGAGCTTGTTTCACAGCAGTGACCTGGTTATAGAGATCTGTGTACAATAATACTCTTCACCAGAGGTTTTTTTATCCTTCTTGGATGGGAAGCTCGAGCTGTCCGGTAACCTAAGAATTCAGAACAGACTAACTGGAAGCTTTAAGGTGACTTTTGTGGAAGAGCGAGTGTGTTGCTCAATCTGAAATTGTTTACAATCGTTGTGATTCTCAGTGGTGCCCAGCGCCAGGACAAGGGGCAATGGGCACAACCTGAAGCACAAGAGGTTCCAGTTGAACGGGAGGAAGAACTTCTTGGCTTTGAGGGTGCCCAAGCCCTGGCCCAGGCTGCCCAGGGGGGCTGTGGAGTCTCCTTCTCTGGAGATATTCAACCCCCGCCTGGACGCTGTCCTGTGCCCCCTGCTCTGGGTGAGCCTGCTCGGGCAGGGGGGTGGCACTGGGTGAGCTCCCGAGGGCCCTTCCAACCCCTGCCATTCCATGATTCTGTAACTTCCATGCAGTTGAAGACTTTTTAACTTTTTAAGCAGCAATTTATCAGTAGAGGTTCTTTGCAATGGTCATCCTCTTTAGAACTACCTCTGAAATAAGCCTAGGGTCCTTTTTAAAGGGATATTCCCTGCAGACTACAGCTCTTTTTTTTTTTTTTTTTTTTCTTTTTTTTTTTTTTCTTTTTAACTTCTTTCACACTAATAGCTGTTTTGGCTGTGAAACATATACATGATGATCTCAGCGATGTCTTGTTAATCCTAGCCATACAAGCAAAAGGCTGATGCTGCACCCAGAGATCTCTGCTGAAATGATGGATACAAATCCCCTGCCTGCCGAAGTTTAATACTGTTGTGGCAGTGGAGAGCCAAAATAATACGGGAAGATCCGCGGCACTTCTCTGCAGTACCCCGTGGAGATCAAAACAAACCGTGCCAGCGGACTTCTTAACGAACAAACCTGCAGCGCTTGCAGGCGTTGAGCCCTCGGAGCTGTGGGTACCTGGCAGTTTTGAAAATCGGACACGATGGTTTTATATTTAGTGTTTATCACCGATGCCACCTGATGGTGGGGTTTTTGGAGGGTTTTTTTTTGGTTTTTTTTTTTTTTTTTTAATCTGATAAGGGTTTGAGGAAATGTATACATGTTGTACTTCCCGTGAAAGAGCTCTGGGGTGTTCTAAAACTCCACTGATACCTTACAATTTTTTAACTCCCACCGTAACGCGTAAAATCCTCGGGTCACCAGAGCAGTCTTGGATAGGTGAACGTGGCCCCTGTACTCAGAGGACTTGAATCCAAATACAGTTCTTGTAGCTGGGCCATCTAGGTCAGTAAGTCTGTGTTGCTGAACGAATCACCCGTGTTCCCTATACATAGTACTGTGCCTTATTATTTTACCAGCCGACATCTGTCTCGGTGCAATCAAATTACTATTCAGGGTTTCTTACGCATTGCAGATGTTCATACTAAATGTCAATGTCTAAAGGTTGGCCTTTTTATTATAAATATTGTGATGGGCTGTAATACAGTGGGGAAGGTGGGAAACCCGTAAGGTGCGTGTGGGTCTAACGCTCTGTGAGGGAACACTTTGGGAACAAGTCAGTCTCAAACTATGTATCTACGTGTAATGATCAGATATTTCCTAAAGTTGTATTTTGGTTCGTTTTTAAAAGAAAATAAATGCATAATTTTCTTTAGCAACAGACTGTGCAAATTCCTCAAAGACATACTTGATTAAAAAGTATTAATTATTTCCAGATGCTGTAACTTACCTTGTGTTGCCATACACTACCTGCTGCCGAATCGAACCCGAAATCAGTGAGAGAACTTTCAGACTCTATGTGGATAGATGATTTCAGTGGGTCTCTGCTAAACGGGATGAACGCTCTGATCTGACAAATATTTTTCTCGTTAATGGTGCTGCTCTTGGAACATACCAGAGTTTTGCCGTGACATTCTTCAGTTGTCGCTTTCTTACTCAGCCCACTAGAGATCTTTTTAAAGCCCGGAATCCTGCTTATCCCTAGGCTGAAAGGAGAAATCCAGTAATAGCCACTTAAGGAAGATTTGCTTTTATTAGAAACCGAGAAACGGGTAACCTCCTGTACACGAGTGGATATTGGAAGAGTTTGAGGATGAAATCACACTGCAATAAAAAGGTCTCTAGCCACGACCTGTACGATTAAACGATGCATGTGACACACACAAAGTTTGCAGACAACACCAAGTGAATTTTGTCCTTGTTTTAATATGGGTGAATGGTGAAAGTTTGATTAAAAAAAGGTTTACAATCTGCAAACAGTAACAAAATCTGTACCTGCAGACATTGCGGTGTTCTTTGGATGCCTTTGGTTCTAGCAGATGCGCACACGCACGTGTAGCTGCGTAGCCTGCGGGCACGGTGCCTGCCACGGTGGCTGATTTTTCACGGGACAGCCTCTGCATGAGGATTTTGTACGAGCGAGTGGCATTTTCTCAGGCACAGCACCTCATTTGGAAAAAAAAAAAAAAATAGGGTTATGTTGCCATGCCGTAATGCTCGTTGATGTAATGTGATAAGGTATGGTATCGCAGGTTCTGCTGTTGGGAGCTGCGGCGTGAGGCGCTGTTTGGTGCCAGCTAAGGAACGGGGGAATCCAATACTAAAGCCGTATTCGCGTAATTCTGCCCGTCTGAATTATGTTGAGGGATGTCGATATAAAATCCTCATCTTCACAAAGAGTCGGGTTGTGGGGCAGAAGCCTGGAGTCTGGCCCGCTGTTGCTCGTGTGGTATGTTCCATCCATTATTAATTATTGCTGTTCATTCATTAATGTGGTTTCTTGAAGGCAAAATTAAGCCGGAGATTCCTGAATCGCTTTGACAGGCAGCAGAAGAGATCGTACTGCATTTAGCAATGTTCCTTTTGGTTTGCTGGGTTTAACTTTTCAACCTTCGCATAGTAAGAGGGCGATGCCGTTCCACATAGCGGATTCATTTAGCGCAAAGTACTTAAAAAAGCAGCAGCATCAGTCTAGCGAGTGAGTTGTTGCTTAGCACAAATTTGTCCGGTTTAGTTTCCTCCTACTGACATTTGAAAGACACAGGCTGAGGGCTTTTTTTAAGCTGCCTCTCTATATTTGTAAGCCAAGACTTTTCAATGGTGGGTAGCTGGTTCGGAGTTTCAGGTTTGAGTCTTCTGCTGGGTACATTTTAAAGGGACCTGATTTTTCTGAAAATAAGAGCCAGGACCTTCCTGGGGCCATTCCAAAGGGCCTCAAAAATACCAGGCTGAAAATTTTGGACGTATCTTCTAGGAACAGCTACGGTATAAATGACCGATGGTGGCCGGACTCGCCGCGTGCAGGATGCTGCCATGCTCCCCCCGCCAGAGGAGCGCTGAGCCCGCCGGGTGCCGAGGCAGCACGGAACACATCAGCGGCTGTTGGGCGAGGGCTGCCGGCAGGCCTTACGCTCGCTGGGCTGGAACGAAGGGGAAGGACTTCTCTAAACTTTCCCCGGCAGAGGCGAGGCTGCTGTCTGTCTGGTGACAAGGAGCCCGTTCAAGCTACCGGGGCCGGTCCGGGCTGCATCTGCTTGCACTGCGTGTGGACTGAAGAGGTGAATTTTACCCCTAATTAGGTTTTCTTTAAGCATCATCTAGCAAGCTGGGGCTGGTCTTCACATGATTCATCTAATCCTTTTTTATAAACCAAGTGCTTTGCTGCACAACCGATGAATGAATATGGTAGGCAGCGTTGGGTTTGTTTTCTTTCCTCTTGCCAAATGAGCCTAACGGGCTTTGCAGACGCGTTTTAGGACAGCCACGTGCACAGATGCTCCGAAATGTCTTTTCCTCTGAAGGTTGTTTTCTTCTCTTCACGTGAGTGCATGTTTTTTGGACAAAGGACGCAGGATGTATGCTGAGTGGTTTTCTGTGGTGCCATCTCTGCCTCTCCCCAGTGTTTATACAGACATAATAAATGGGCAGGGATCTACTTGATGCAGCCGCAGCCAGCAGTGGCCGACATCTGTGCCCCAAGGCATATAAGCCTGAACTTATAAGGAGTGGAAGGAGGGTTTGGGATCTGGCGCCTGGCTTCAGTGCGGAATTGCAGGGAGACGGGGTCGCCGGCACGAGCTCTCCACGGCTTTTCCCTCGCCTCTTGCGACGGCGACGGGGGTTTGAGCGAACGGTCCCTTAAGTGTGCTTCAGCTTGTTTGCTTTGTCTGCGGGGATGAAATAGTTGCCCGAATTAAGTCTGCCCGTTCTTAACTGCTGAGAGGAGCTTTCGAAAGACGATAGAGAGTCAGCCCCAGCCTCTTGCTGAGGAGTGGAGCCATGTAAGGATTTGCATTTCTCCTGCTAGCGCGGAAACTCCGATATTTGGCTTTACAAGCGGAGGAGAGGTGTAGGGGAGAGAATTGTTTTCCTGGGCAAGTGGGTTGTAGGTAGAAAGACAGTGACCATGATTATAATAATTAAGCGTAATTAAGCATAGCTGAGAAGGGCTTGAAAGAAATAAAGCACATGCCTGATTAGCCCACAGAATTTGCTGTTGGAGGCTGTTGTAAAGACCAGAGACATTTTTTTTAAAACAGGTTGGATTTACTACGAAGTTCTTCACAATTTTAATTACATTGTGAAAATACCCCGGGTGCTCTGTGCTAGAGAAGGGTGCTGTTGAGCAAGGGCATCTCCAGGTGAGAAATAATGCAGCCCGTTCTTGCCCTGGGTGGTTTTCTGCCACTGCGGGCATGCATCCCTGGAAATGCAAGAAGTCGTAACCACAAAGGAACTGGGAGAGCGGAGCTGGGGGCTTTCGAGGGCTGTGCAGTGGGCAGCCATGGGGAAGAAGATCTTGTAGGGTGGGAAGAAGAATTGGAAAAATAGGGCTTCCACCCTGCCACGCTCAACAGGAGCCTCCGCAGCTTGTGCCGCGCATTCTGGCGTGGGCAAAGGATGAGGAGGAGAGGACAAAAGAAATTTTACTCCATACTATCATAGGTCTGACCGATAACGCCCAAGGTCCTCGTTCATGTTCCGCACTGCCCAGGGTTGTGCCATGCAGTGATATCTTCCAAGCCTGCATGCGTGCCCATCTTCTGCCCAGCCACTTTCACAACGTTGGGTGACAGTAGCACCAGTCATGTTAATGATGGGAGCTGCCAGTCTCTCCAGCAGGTGTTGATGATGGATGGCATAAACGAAATTATATTTGAGGTGTGAGCAGCCAGCTGTAAAGTCATCAAACAGGAAAGGTCATGCAAGTAATTTACACCAGAACTTCTCTGCTCTCAAAGCCATAAGC